TTCTACTTCTTTATGGACTCAACCTGTAAATTTGCATATTATATTTGAACATGGAAGTCAACCACAAAAATAACATTTTTAACATGAAAATGTTTTATGTCATTTTGACTCACACAGGAAGTGTGACCTGAAGGCCATTCTTTGACTAAACCTCCAATATTTTCATCAATTCTATGATTTGTAGATCTATCACTCATCAAGAGTGCATGGAACAGATGACATAAGGACCTCTGGTGGATATTTTCACATGGCCAATGTGTTCTATAGGCAGAACAAGTTGGATGTAGCGTTCTCTCTGTACAATCAGGTAAACAATGGCATCATGTGTGTTTAGTATAGTTAAATGGTCCAGGATTGTCACACCGGTATTATGTACCGAGACATTTACCAAATGTTTTGCAAGTTAGGGAAGTACTTTATAAAATTCCTCATTTTTCTAGGAAAAAAATTATTTTGATCTAACTGCCTGCTGATGTAAGCATAGGAGTTCAACAGAAGGGAAGGAAACTATCATATGGACTGTTCCAAACAGTTCAATGTAAAGGCATGGTTTATAAGGAAAAGGAATCTCCCAGGCTGTTTGTGGCACTTATTCAGGGGTGTTGTATATCAATGTTTTTGCTCTTACATGCAGCACTTATCTTGGGATGGGGTACCAGAATTGAGTAAATGCAGTAGAAGGCTTGAGAAAAACAGAATATTGGTGCTAGCTGTTGTAGTCTATATGTTTTGTGTTCTTTTGTACTTACAACTTACAGAATGACAATTCTCAGCCTGGAATTGTTTGTTAGTAGCCAGAGTAGCTTGTGAGCAGGCTATCATTACACGGCTGCAGAACGCATGTTTCTCTTTGGGGAGAATTAAGATTTGTGACAAGTTGGGGAAAGGTTTGCTGGGGGTCTGGCACTAATAATAACTGTTACCAGACCCCTGCAGACCTCCCGTCAGGTCGCATTGCTCAAGGCCTCTTACTTAAGAACAAGTGAAAAACTGCCTGTGACAATTCCAGGGACTATGCAAAGGGAGGGGTTGGGGGCTACAGTCAGAGGGATTGTGGTCATTGGAATTAGCTACAGTGCTTTGGTCTGTCACTTGTATTGTGTGCCAGACATAAATGAATACATATTCACCCTTCTAATAGCATGAACACATTTTTATTTCCAGGTGACAGACATCTGGTTTGAACACCTTGGTAAACTGGTGGGTCAGAGGACCAAAACTCCTGCAGAGCCTTCTGGGATAGGACCAGCTTTCATCTCTGGTGTACCAACGGATTTTGATATTTTAGGTACTGAAATGTAGAGTGTATGTTAAAATACAAGATCTAGTTTAATTGTATTTTATTCATCGAGCAATTTCAATATCTTGTAAGTCAGTGGCACAGCATCCAAGGTGATAATAATTTTGATGATATACATTAGTGAGGGTCTCCCTGGAAGTATTTCCTTCGCTCAAATACTTGTGTCTCTGGCTGAGAAAATTTTGCCTGTCTTACCGGCTTCTTGGATGTTAGATAGAAATGAAGGAAACAAACTTCTTAACAATTCTCTTATGGCTTGGCTTCCCATTTCGTAGGTCTTCCACTCCGAACACCAACAAAATAACCACCTACGTCTTTTGTTGCAATTGTTTTTATTCAATAAAGCCTGGTTGGTGGTGTCATTTAACCCTTTTTGGTGTCAATAAAGTTTGAAAAGTTCACAATATTAACTACAGCCTGATTTCAAACAACTAAAAGGTTGCTCAACGAGCAGGCCATCAGTGGGAGTGGCTGAAGGAGTGTGCTCAACATGGATCTAGTGTTCTGGCTACTTTAAATACATTTCGATAATCTGCACCCCCTTAACGTCCTTATTGAACATATCACAAGCTAGAAAACTCCGTTCAAATCTAAGCAAGTTAGTGATATTTTTACAAGTGATTTACTGTAATTGTTGCCATATCGAGGGGAATATGATTCTGAAAAAAACGTCGCCCTGGATGAAACGCTCACTGTCCTTGTCGCATCGGGAACACTTAAATGTTATAAACTCCTTGGTGGACAATGTTTTGAAAGGTAATCTTCAAGTTTTTCTTTCTCAGATGAGGCCCAAGAAGCAGAGGCTATCCAGGTGGTAAATGCCATGTTAGATCTGCGAGAGCAACAGACAGTGCAAACTCCCGCAGTGATGTGCAAAATATATTTCACCACGGCCATGTTACAGTTTATCTTGGGAGATATGCTAAAAGTAAGTTCGTACAACTTCAGTCTTGCTACTTGCTTTTCTCAGTGAATTGAGTAGTTGTATATGACCCTTGAGAACGTGTACTTTAGTTTAGTACAGTATGTATGCACAAACTTGATTTGTGCATGAAGTCTGAAAGATAGTCTCCCGGAAGGCTGTGCGCTGCGGCTCGAGCGGCGACACTGAGAGAAACGAGTGGGTGTCGTCGGCTAGTTCCAAACGCAGCATCAGTGATAGGCTACTCGCAGGCTACTTGAAAGCAGGAGATGAGTCTCCAGGTAAACGAGAACCTTCTCGAAAGAGACAAGTCACTAAAAAAGCGAGCCTCGAAGAAATTGAGTGGTAGGCTCTAGAGAGAAACGAGGCGAGTCTCGAAGGAAGCGTGGCGAGTCCGAAGCGAAACAAGTTACCTCTAGAGAGTTGATCCTCGAAAGTAAAGACGCAAGTCTCGAGAGAAGAGAGATAATCTTTAGAGAAGATGCAATTTCTTGAGGAAAACGAGAAGAGTCAAAAAATATTCGAGGCTAGTCTCTTGGGACAAGAGACAGGTCTCAAGAAAAACGAGGTGACTCTCGAGGTAAACAAGACGAGACGAGACTCGAGAGAGTACGTGTCGAGAGACAGGGGGCGACTCTCAGGGGTAAACGAGACGAGTCTCGAGAAGCACGAGGGGAAACATGTTTTTTTCGAGGAAAAAGGACCAGGTGCAAAAGAAACTAGATTTAGTCTAGAGCAAGACGTGATGAGCCTGTTGATGTTAACGGGATACCAATCGTTTCTCGAAAGAAACTTGGCTGGTCCAAATAAGTGTTTCCAACAATGTCATTAAAAAATCTTGAGTCTTGCCTTTTATTTGAATTTTTTCCTCGTATTAAATTTGATACAACTCGTTATATTATTTAACAAAACGAATCACATACCCATACCTCCCCATATATATATTTACAATCCTTCTTTTAGTCTAAAAGAGTTAAAAATTTCTGACTGAATGTCATAGTTTCCACCTCTCGGTATACTTTTCTTTTGCGCGTTGAAGAGATTTTTATTTTCGTTGCAGGCAAGGGATTTTGGGATCAAAGCTCGAACTGCCTGCGAGAATGCGGCTTCCTCTGACGAAGGAACCATGAGGAATCTCGTTGAATTTTTGAAAGCTGTTGAGAGATCTATGTAAGCTGTTGAGAGATTTACTGCAAGCGCTCTCAGCAAACGCTCTCAGCAAGCGCTCTTAGCAAACGCTCTTTGTTAATATTCTTGATCATACTTTGGAAGAGTGAGGTCTTTCTTAAGTTTTTGTTTTTCGAAGTATAAGAACTGAGAAATTTTTGTCGCTTAGTTGGATTTTAGAGGAACTTTTTCTTCAAAATGTTCCTAGAATGCGATCTTGTGAAAAAGGACCAACAGTGTACATAATTCTTTAACGTTTTTACAATTTTTTTCAATGAAGAACATCCACGAGCATATTTGTGGTCCTTTCTTCTCTTTGCATCAAGTCTACTTTTATAGCAGTACTGTTTTCTTAGCCCATGATCAAAATCTTTGCCGATCAGCCGCAGTGTTTTTGTATACAAACATGTACGGTTGTTTATACATAACGTGCGATGTAACCCACAGAAAAAGCCTCGAGGCAAACATGATTTTTGAGAGTCTCCGTAAAGCCTTGCAGTCTTAACTACTCTAAGATAATGTACATGCTGTATAATTTTACACAGTCGTCAAAAATTGTGATATTTTTCGGTTTGGTTTTACACTTAGTACCGTTGTTGAAGTGAGTTACTTTCGCGAAGATTTGCTCGCGCAGAATCCCTCTTTTGTGCTGGCTTTCATTTGGTAAATCGAATTTCCCTTTCTCGACATTAGTACCTTACAAGGAAACGATTATTAGGTGTAAAGTGATCGAAAGCTTTTTGGGTCAATCAGTGATTACCAAATGTTGTATCTTTTATGACATACGCGGTCTTTCTCTAACCCGTTCAGCCGGGTAACCTGTAATAAGCGGCACCGTATTTAGCTGTCACTCTGCATTAAGCGGTGAGTTGTCGAAACCCCTAATTTGTTTCCCCTTAATTACTGTAATTTTCACCTCTTATAAGCGGTTACCTGTATAAAGTGGTCGCGGCCCCCCTTAACAAGTCCCAACGCAGGGCCGTAGCTAGCATGAGGCAAGACGAGGCAATTGCCTCGTCTTAATTTTGGCCTTTTTTATTTTTTTTCTCAAAGATTGACTTTTCTGAAGAAAAATGCCACGGAAAATCCTTAAAGAGTATTTCTAAACCTCTAGATTTCAAAGTTTTCTGGGGGGCATGCCCCCAGACCCCTCTAGCGGCTCGCGCCCTCGGCGCTCGAAACTTGTCTCGTCTTGTCCTGAAATCTGGCTAGAGCCCTGCAACGACCTGTTTTACTGTTCTACACCTATATTGAATGGTCACTGATAGCGGGACCATTCAAATAAATTGAAAACTAAGAATAATCTTTCGAGTAATTTTTAATCCAGGTTTCTCTCCCAAAATCCGGCAAAGTGCGAAGTATTTTCGAGTGAGATTCTGTACATTAAAGCGGTCAATTATGGCATAAAGTGGCGTCGTTTATCATATTTTATAATACCCCTAAATCTGTGGAACATGTACTTAGCGGTCAGCCTGTATTCCCCGTGGGTGACCGCTTCATACAGGTTCGACTATATTTGAGAATAAAAGAGCACAAAACGTACGTCTTTTGTTCCCTAAGGGGTATTCAAGCTAACAAATGGCTTGTGAAAACTTGACAAAACAGAAAGCAACTGTAAAAAAATCCACCTGCAGTACTATATCTTGTTTGAACAGAGAGAAAAAGTTTTTCTTTTAAGCTTTGAATTGTATGAAAATGAAAATTGAGCGTTTGTTTCGCAAATGAGATTAGATCCATTGTTCAGCAATGTGATAGTTTTGACGATAAGATAGTTTTTTGGTTGAGTACTTTTTTTTTTCTATCCTTAGCCGCAAGGGCCATCTTGTTAGACCTACCAAGGAAGCTTTCTATTTTGTATACATAAGTAGATATATTTCAGTCAATTCTCGGGTAGGCGACTGAACTTGATGATTGTCGCTTTGAATTTGACAAAACAGGTCTGACTCAAACTGTCATTGTTTTTACAACTGTAACGATAAAACAAAAAACATAAAAAAAAAAAAGATAATTCACGCCGAAATTTGGTTTTCCAGCCGTCAACTTGCATGAGATCGAGGTTACCGCCTTGTCAATGGCTGACGGGTTTAAAACTTGGTGTTATTAAATGTCAAAATGCAATCATGTTTAAACGTTTACTTCGAATAATGCTATATTGAGCAAAGTCAAGAATTCATTGCGGCAACAAGTTTTTACGTTATTAAAGTGACTGGGAATTTTTGAATACTTGGAAATGGTAGTTTCGTTCCCCTCAGCTCCCACTTAACTACAAAATTTTTCCAGACTAAGGCACCGAATATTAAAGGCTGCCTTTTTATTTATGACACTGTTTGTATTCACTTTGAGTTGTGTTTTACTATCCTAACAAACTATTGGCTCCTCAGATGACAATCCTAATACAAGGCGCATTTACAAAATACCCACTCGAAGCTATTTTCATAAAAGCGTCATGACATAACATGACCGGTATTTGTTAAGATTTGGTGAAAGTTTTGCCTCAGCCAAGACACACGAAGCAATTATTTCGGAGCAAAACTAATCGGAGTCTTCTCTAAACTACATGTTGGTAAGTTAAGGACTATTCAACAAAGCTAGATCTTTTACTCTTGGAAGTCTTGCAGGTGTACTTGAAGTTCTTAATTTAACCTTGGCGGTTTTGTATGTGTCTTAAGAAAGATAAAATTACAACATCGTTATATCATTAGTTAAATTCATGATGAGACGAGAAACGTTTATCTTTGCGTTAAAAAAAACTTCCCCATAAACCAGAATTTTTTTGTGGAAAACGTTTCGTGAGTATTATGGCCAAGAAATGAGAGCCGTTAAAAATTGATCTCCTGCAAGACCTTTCCTACATAATAGCTCAGTTTGGCAAGGAATTCACTGCTTTTAATTTTCCCAGCCTGGCTATGTCGCTACCCAACGAAACCTTCAACTACACCAACGACAACCAAAGCATCAAAAACGAGGGCTGCTTTGTGAATGAATCAAATGCTGTCAAAATGGCCAGAATCGTTCCTTATTGCGTGCTACTAGTGGTTTCTCTTCTTGGAAATACTGCGATCATTGCCGTGGTATGGAAAGAACAGCGAATGAGGAAAACTGTTAACTTTTTCATCGTGAATATGTGTATTGCAGACCTTCTAATAACATTATACATGCCTCGTTCGATGTCTGTGTGGTATGATGGCTACAAATGGCAGTTTTACGGTACACTAGGACTTGTGGTTTGTAAGTTCGCTGTTTTTATGCATCAAACTGCCATTTGCGTCTCCATCTTCACTGTAGTAGCCATCAGCTTTGATCGATTTTTCGCTGTGATATTGCCGTTGAGGACCATCATTACGATAAAAATCAGTCGAATCATTATTGCAATGATATGGTTCTCTTCCGTTGTTATTCGCCTGCCGATGTTGTATGGTCTTAACCTTATTGACGCAAGTAACGGCGAAAAGAGTTGTTATCTGTCATTAGACGATGTGTTTTACCAAGGAGCTGAGAAGACTTATTACAATTCTACTCTCATTGGCCTGTTTGCTGTGCCTTTGGCAGTGATAGCTGTGCTGTATTCGGCCATTTTGATTTCCCTGAAACTACGAAAAGCGCCCGGAGAAGAAATCATGGGAAGAGAGCAAACAAGAGATTCTCGGATAAAAAAGAAAGTTCTTCGAATGGTGTTGATAGTAGTGGCTGTATTTGTGCTCTGCTGGCTGCTCTACTTTGTCCAGCTCATTTTATTTTCGTACAAAAGCCAAGTGGGCTGCGAAGTTTTATTTATGAGATTGTTTTTGGCTGATCTGAACAGCGCAGTGAATCCATGTTTGTGCTTCGCTTTGAACGAGAACTTTCGTACAGGATTGAAACGCATTTTGATTCGCTACGCGCTTTGTAGTCGTATTCTCAGCGAGGAGAATTTCTCGCAAAAGGTGTCTCCCGCAAGTACAATGACTTTGTGGAATACTCAACATAATAATGATAAGCAGAGTTGAATATACGGACAAGAAAACAGCGTAAAAAAACTATTCGAAACGAAAGAAGTATTCGAATTACGTAACAACTGAGTAGCGTTCGATGTTTTGTACAAGGCGTAGAATTGAAGAAAAAGCACCCGAGTTTGACAAGATGTTGACAAGAAAGAATACGAGCCTCGATGGTAAAAGCAAGAGTTAGACAATTTTGACATCGTTCTTTCCCTCATCTCTTCTTTAATTTATGTTGAATGTAATCCAGGTGAGCAGACTGTCGAGTTATTTCTCCCGGAGAAACTGCCCGCTGAATTCACGACTGAAGGGGAAAGAAATCTATTCCGGCAAATGCTAACACATACCTGAATCTCATAAAGATATCTAGAACGTAACAGACACATCCAAACACCGAGGAGTTCTGGGAGAATTCAAGTTCCGATATGTGTCTGCTTTAATTCACATTTGACTCTTAACACCCTAACATCAGTATGCATATTCTCCATACTGTTCACCATAGGTTTCCTAAGGTGCTGACAAAGAGAATTTGTCTAACAATCAAGAGATTCTTTGGCTGGTGATCATTTCCTTTATTCTCGTGACCTCAATGTAGAGTTCAATGATGATAATGTAAGGAGAAATTAGATGTTAGTCACTCTTGGGGGTCAAATCGTTAGTTCATTTATACAAGTCGTATAGCAGCTGGAATCATCTTTGAGTGACAAAGGCTCACATTAAGTAAATATCGGCTCTCGCCAACCTTGGCATTAATCTTTATATATTTGTTCTATTGGCAGGCTTATGGTGAATGGTTAAAGCTAGCAATAATAATGATCACATTAAACCGTCGAAATAAAACGTGTCAAGCTGGTAAAACAATTTTTGTTACGTTGAAGCTTGAAAAAACTTTCAGTGTGTCTGCCCAAATGTAAATTAAATCCTTTGGGAGGCTAACGATATTCATTCAATGAAAGGATAGACTTTTATTTTCAAGCTCGAGAATGAACTGAATTTTTACTCATAAAAAAAAAAACTCGAACTATGACCAAATGTATTTTGTCAGTAATTCAATTTGGTAAAGAATCATCATCACAGTTCATTTTATGAATGCGTTCGTCTTTTTTGTGCATATTTCTTATTGAACTGACCAAAGAAAGCTTTCCCGTTCTTAAGTTTAGTTTACTAGGTAACGAGTTTTATTGAACACCAGATTCCCGTGGTTACCATCTTGATTTTTGTACTGCACATTGTAATCAAGCAGTTGTGAATTGAGGATCGTAAAATCGAATGCGGATAGTAACCATTCGTGCAGACAACAGAGTGATGAATAGAAATCTTGATTTCTGTAAGCTTAGCGTCTGATTGGTTGTCAGCAGCGTGGGTTTCCTTTTTAAGTCAAACACAGCGTACACTCGGATTAGAGTCGGCACTCTTGAGCAAGTCATTTCATTCTAACAGTTCCTCTCTCCATCGAGGGGTATGAACAGGTAACAGCCCAATGAAATACCGAGGGATAAGCCGTAATAAGCTAACTTCCGTTCTTGGCTGAGCTCTTCCCAGTTTTCATGGTCAGCCAAAGTTCTGTTATATAATCAAAACTGGTCATGACTCGGTAACTCGCGTTTTCCCACAATTGGCGACGATGGCGTTTGTTTACACTGCGTCTTAGTCGCAAATGGTGGAATAGTCTATTGCTATTTCAGGGATCCTTGCACTCTCTCCCTTACAATTTGGTTGATGGGGTAATTCTCCGTCGGTTGGTTCTTCATAAATAGCTTTAGAGTTTGCCACTGAGGTCGACGACGGTAAAACATAACTTTTTGTCCAGTAACATTGCGGAATAAACTGTGAGATGATGTTTTTGACACCGTGACGATAACTCTCGCTGAATACCACGTAAAGGCAAGGATTAAAGGCGCTGTTAGAATGGGCGAGAAAAAGGTGCACAAATAAAACATTGCATGAAACATCGACGTTGTAGGAGTACAAAATAAGACGAATGAAGTACAAAAGCCAACAAAGTACGAATGCTATCACAACAGCTATTGCCAGCTGTAGGACCTTTTTTGTAGTTTCCTCTTTATGCTGCTGCCATGGGTTTATCCTCAGAGTGGTGTCAACTTGAGGTGGTTTTCGTTTCTTGAGAGTTATCAATATGGCTGTGTATAAAATTAAAATGAATAGGAATGGTATTAAAAAAAAGCTGAAAAGATTTAGGAAGTAGTAAATTTTTTTAGTTTCATCACCGAATGTCTCATGCAAGGCAATGTAACAATGTGGTTTTCCGTTCAAGCTGTTTAAGCTCGCTGAATATGCCATAGGGGCTCGAAAAGCAATAGCCGAGAGCCATATGAAAAATATGATCCCCTTGGTTCTTGGAATTGTGAGAAGCGACGGTCGTAATGGGAATACAACAGCTAAAAAACGATCGAAACTGATCGCTACGACAGTGAGAATCGAGGCAGTCATCCAAGCGTAGTTTAGCAGGGTTGAAATTCTGCAGGTTATCTCCCCTAGTAGGTTGTCAACCTGCCATTCGTATCCCACGTAAGTAAGAGCTATCATACGAGGCATATACATTGTTAGAAATATATCTGCCAGGGCCATATTCACAACCAGATAATGAATTGATTTTCTACTGGCCAATTTTGTTTTCCTTGTCACCGCAATGATCAGCAGATTTCCAGTTAAAGAGACAAAGATCACAGTGCAATACGCACAGGTTCGGATGATTTTCAATGGCATGGAATCTTCAAAAAAGCACTCTTCTTCCGGAGGAGTTACTGGAAAAATCGTCGAATTTAAGTGATTTGAATCCCTCATCAGCTGTAAGGAATAATTTCTTGCAATAAGTGCTTACGAAAGAACTGAGAATTTTCCCACTTTGAACGAAGTAACTCTAAGAAATTCTCAGGATAACCTGCCGCCCTCTCTGCAAAATTAATTGACGTGTATTATCAATTGGTATTTAGTTACCACTCTGAAAAGTCGGATCTTTCAATGAAAACATCCAGCATCTACATATCTCAAATAGCTTGTCTATCATTTCTGACATTTCTGTCTTAAATTTATTATTGTTTTACCTCAATACAACATCGAGGAGAAAAAAATTTAAAATTTCGATTTCGATAAGCGAGGTAAATCTTTTCAGCTTCAATTCTGATCACTTCAACGATCCAATGTTTTACAAATCGGCGATGGTGGAATAAGTTATCATTTTATTCAGAAATCGATTCTTAAGCTGGCATGTAGTAATAATACTTCTTTAGTGTTTGACATAACGTAAAAAGTTTGGGAAATGTAATATTTTGTCTAATTAGAGAGGAAATGAGTAAAGGTTGATTAGTCTTGTGTTTTACTGACGAATTTTACACAACAAGGCTGCTTGATTTGAGCCTTGAAATAAACCAGTGAGAGGTTCCTTTGATTTATAGACTTTGTAATAGTACTTGGCGAAAAGAAAAAGGAACGACATCTCGATCTCTCAGAGGTCATTTTCAAGTTAATGATGGTCAAAAAAACCTGACGAGAATGTCACAAGTCTTGAATTCCCACGCCTTGAATTTAGTACATATATGTAAAAATTTTCCTTTTCATCAGCTTGAAAATGACCTTAGCGAGGTCGAAACGTCGTTCAAAATTATTATCACTAATTTTTATCTTGAAAATGTCACAAGGATTGCAGCAAATTTACACAATTACAAGAATTGAAATATTTGAGTTCAAAACAATTTTATGCTTTGATATTAGACTTATTCTGTATTATATTTTACTTTTATCTCTATGAGCTAATTTTTCAAAATTTTTAAGTTTAAAAATTTGAAAATGACTTTGGCGAGGCCCAAACGTCGTTCCTTGAAATATGTCTTTTTCTCCAAAAATTCGCATAATGTGGTATTATATATTAATCGTTCTTCCCCGAGTGATTATCTATATTATCATATATTATGTTATTGAAAAACATAAAAAATTGCCCATAGGAAGGGACGTACGAAATGGTGCGAACAGGGCGTAACGGGAAAATATTTCCGCGACTATTATTATATGACCCGTATGGTTCCGCCAATGAAATCTTATAGAAAACCATAACGAAAGCTGACATATGTAGGGCTGTAGGAGTTGACAGAGAGGTTGGTCATTTCGCACGGACCTCGCGCCTGGTTCGAGCGTCATGACCTAGCTCGAGCTGAATAATTTACCCTTCGGCCCTTTCACTCAGTCAGTAATAAGTACATGAGGGTGTGAATGGGGTTAACCGACTAGCGACAAAGGGCGTAAAAAATTACTGACTACCGACGAAACGGGGAAAAAATTACCGACTAGCGACATATAAATTCTAACCGACAACCGACATGGTCAGACGTGATAGGGATGTTTGTATTCAGAAAGAACAGCATTTTGATGATTTCTTGCTCAGAAAATCCTTCTTCACCCGACGTAACCACATTTATTCCAAATTTAGCCGAATTATAGAATTTCTGGTCTTCAAATTTCTTTAAATCCACGGGATCCTTCTTTTCGGTGAGCAGCGTGGGCTCATTTCTAGAACAGCGGCTCGTAATCGGGCTGACAAGATGGCCTGCTGTCTCATTTCAAGAACAGCGGATCACAATCGAGCCAACGAGACGCCCTGCTGTTGTCTTTTTATTGCTCGTTGTTTGTTCATGCGGTCGGGTCATGACTGGGATTGCTAAAGTCATCGTGAGTTTTTTTCGAAAAGGTGAAGAAGTCGCCATCGAACGTCATCGAAGCAGGGTCCCAGTAGACAAAGAAGCTCATAGAATAGTATCTGAACTAAAAAAACATCTTACGGAGTTTTTAGGATTAAAGGAGCAGGCACATCAATATGAAATTGGCGGATTTTCGTTAAAGTTATTTCGCATGGCGAAATCGCCTGCGGGCAAATGCGAAAATTTTGCAATTGTGACGGATGGGCAATGGCAGCTTGAACTTCCAAATTTAATATCGGATGAAAGTAGCAGTGAGCTCAACGGTAAGTGTGGAACGCGTGCAGCGGAGTTTGATGAATCACTTTAGTTCTGTAGTTAAATATAAAGCTCAAATATTAACGTGGTTAAACACTGGTTCCACCGTTTTTTGTTTGTTGTTTTGTGGAGCGGAATGTTTTTTTTTTCTTTTTCACCGTCCCTTTGAATGCGAAAACTGAGAAGAAAAATCTCTACAATGAAGTAGCGAGTAAATCAGTTTATAAGCTTCTTTCTGATTAATTGGTGAATGAACAACAGTGTAGCTTAACATATTAAAGACCCCGTTTATTTATACACGCCCTTAAATTTATTCGTTTCTGAAAACCAGACGTTCAAATAATATTAAATTCTCTCCTCGAGGGAAGCTACGCACGAGAGATTTCGCTCGATGTGCACGTTTTATACATCTTGACGAGCATTTGCTGATAAGAACTGTAAGTTTCTCAAAAGCCTACTAAAGAGAAAACTTAAAACACACGGTATTTAATATTTTAGTACACATTATCCAAGAGGTCACAAACTGGACCGGAAAGCCAGTAGTGTTGCTGAAGGCGCCGGCTACATCTGATAAAAGCAAGCAGNGGGGAAGTCCGGTAAGTAACTACAAACGTTTTTCAAATGCTAATAAATAGATAAATATCTCTTTGAACAATTACCCTTCCTCCCACCACTCGTAAATGTAATCCTTCCCAAGAATCATTGGGGAAAATATGAAACCCTCGGAACTTGTTGTGATTATTTATGCTGGAGCAAAGGCGAGGTAAGAATTGTTTCAAACATTAATTATTCATTCATGTCTGTCTCACACCTTGGGTCAGTGTGACATGTGTTTCAAGGAGTTACATTGTTTTGCTTCTTCGAAAAGAAACTCGTCGAATTCTGCCGGTTTCTGCCCTCATAACTGTATCTAAAAGTATTTTTAAGACGACTGTTTCCTTATCACAGGTTCAGCAGCCCACTGAATTATGGAGATACTGCTGTGCTTTTGAAGAATACCAATAACTTTACATAAGGTGAGGGAGAAACTCGTTATGTAGTGTACTCTTCGCAGGTCTCGCCTAAACACGTCTCTCTAACGAATCATATGTAGAATTTTCATAGCTTATTTGCTTAAGCTGTTACGTATAATTCTCCTACTTCGACTTTTCTGATGACTTAGTCTCAACTGTTGTTTCTATCAAATCTTTTGAAAACATCTTTAAGATTTATTTCGTCTTAAAGTTGTGTTTGTCACAGTTAAGCAAAACCTTGCGCCTTTGTGCTCTGGGCTTATCGAGTTACCTTTCTGAATACAAGTAAGTATCTGGAGCACTTGAGGTTTTTTCACAGATTTATGGTACGAACGTCAGTGATCTTAGTTTCAATGTATAACACAGGTTAAAGCATATCTAACAACAAGTAACATGTAATGAATGTGGTATCTTATTCACTATTCTAAATATTTTTTTTGGTTCGTGTCCTTTTTCTCTGGGACTTTGGTATATTGATGGTACAAGAAGCAGGAATCACGTGGACTGCAAACTTGTTGGCGAGGGTGAGTCAAACATGGATTTCAATATGCGCTCGATTGCAAAAACGTTGACCCTAAAAAGCGTAAGCAATGAATGATGAGACTAAACAGCCTAATGGGTACACATGTACTTGATAACTGGTAGAAGCCATCCACACTTTCCTGAAAGGAAAGAATTGTCGTAAAGAAATATCTTCATGCAAAATGAAAAAGTTAGGCACTGATTACGTAACTATGCGATTTCTCAGAAAGCCGTTGGGTCTCATTGTTCATGGATCATGCTTTGAAGGTGTCAAATTTTTTGCAATTGAAACGAGTGATAGACGAGAAGCGAGAAGCCACCCCTTGAACTAACCATGTAAACCGCTTTCCTTGCGCCAAAAATAAGAAAAACGGAAAACAAAGATGAAGATGGTAATAAAACTGACCGATGAATGCATAAAATTTACCGATTTACTGTGAGAGAGAATGTTAAAATTCTCCATCTTTTCTTATAGTCCTTTCACTAGAGGCCGTTCTTAGCACGGGCTGGAATTTAATGGTGTGCGACATGTTACTTAATCAATGTACTCTTTGGATTTGCAGAGTGGTGAGAAGGAGATGAAAATTGACGTTGAAAGGAGGAATGAAAAACTGCAATGTAGAGTGCACGGAGGGATGTAGAAGAACGACGCTTAACGTAAGTTCTACATGAAATTGTTTTACTGTTCAAAGTAATTTATGACCATCAAGCATAGAAAGGGACGCCAAAATACTAGTTTAAGACTGCCGGTGTTTGAACTATTCCAAACTATTTCGTTGATATGGCATTGTCACAGACGTTTTATTTGCTTTCTTGCTCCTTGCTTTTTGTTGCATTAAAATTTTTGGACCCAATTGCTCTTAAATCTATTTTGCTAATATTAAGGGCTTAACAAGACCAGTGGCGCAAGTTTGCAAGACAGCTAATCTCGCGGAAAACATAATAGATAGACAAACAATTGGCGGTACTTTTTTCTTTGTTTCTTTTCTTAGTTGTTTGTTTGTTGGTTTATTTGGCTTTCAAGTCAATAATCAATGTATTTGTTGTATTCGCAGAACAGAGCGACGGAATTGAAAATTGTTACTGG